CACACACACACACACACACATATATATATATATATATATGTTAAAATATATATATATTAAAATAAATCTTTATTCTTATTATATTCTGCTGGCTCATAAAGACACACAGAATTTGCCAAAGGGAACAGTTAGAAAGTATTCTATTACATAACATAATATAAGACCAACAAAAACAGGAGGAAGTAAGAAAATTTTAAACTTATTTTACATAACTCTCTTTCTCTTTTACCATTACTTCCGTTTACCATTACTTCCGTTTACCATCCCATCATGGATGGTAAAAGGAAGTAATTTATGGGATCAACCATCCAAAGCAACAGAGAGGCGAAGAAGAGAGTGCAGGGAGGGTCGAGTGTTGGGGATTTCTGACAGAAGCAGAGCAGAGTGAGTGAAAGGGAAGGTTTACAAGATGGTAGTGAGAGAAGATCATGGGACTAACAAAAAAGACAGGAGGCCTGGTTGATAATGTTAAGGTTTTCACTGAGAGTGACCAGGATGGAAATGATTAGAAATAAATAACATCAGTGGGACAACTCAGGCTGAGAGCGTTGGAAACAATTTTAGAGATGGTTTGGGCATGTGCTGAGGGGGGATAGTGGATGAAAGACAAAAGACGATGAATATAGAGCTAGGGGCAGAGTAAGAGGGACACAGGTGATCTGCTGTGGTGATCCCAGAAGATGAAGACCTTTTAACACTTAAAAAGCTTTGCCTACATTTGAATTAATTCAATGAAATATATTTGAGGATTTAGGTGATGGTTTCATAATTTTGTTTTATGTATATTATGTTACTACTGGTGGCCACGTGATGTCGCTAAATAATCGTCGGAGTCGATGTCCCATAATCCCATGCGGCTTTTGGCTTTAAACCGGAAGCGGAAGCTCCATATTCCTTATACTTTGAATGGCTTCTGAGTGAATGGTTGTGTGTTTGAGTGAGTGCGTGAATGATGTGTGAGTGTGTCGTGTCTGTGTTCATTTTAAAAACCTACACACTGATCTTATTTGATCCGGTCTGAGGTGGCTCTGCTCTGACCGGAGATGATAGGAAACGCGCTTGCGAGCCTTTGTGGCGATGTGCAGCCGGCAGAAACTTTCAGGGCCTCCACGCTCCGTGCCGTGGTTAGAGGTGATGAATTGATCAGATATACTAGCTCTGTGAGAGTTTGAGTTCATCTCAAGCTTCGCAGTGGTCAATGAGTACAGAGGCGATTCTGATCTAACCACAGCAGGAGGAACCGTGGAGGAGCACGACCTAAAGAAACGGCTGCTCGTCACATACGCTTATTCTAACGGTTAAAACGAGTTCAGACAGGCTTCGGACTGAAAATACCAGGAAAGCAAGGCTTACCAAACGCTCGTTTTCCTGGTAAAAACAGCTAGGTGTGTTAGTCCTAAAGTTGCTTCTTCAGTCAAAAGCAGTTTTTCTCCCTTAAAGCGACCGATTCAAAGGGAAAGGGGGAGAGTGGGAACAGAGCTATACGGGATTAATTCAATCAAGTAATTTAGATCATTTAAGGACTGACTTCTGTTGTATTTA